AGATGTGTATAAGAGATAGAACCAGTACAGTACAGTACGGTTATTGTTTTAAATGGACATTTTGGACATTAGTATCCAAATTATTAAAATGAAAATTTTGGACATTGGTGTCCAAATTACAAAAATGAACATTTTGAACATTGGTGTCCAAATTACAAAAATGAACATTTTGGACATTGGTGTCCAAATTATTAAAATGAACATTTTGAACATTGGTGTCCAAATTACAAAAATCATGAACATTTTGGACATTGGTGTCCAAATTATCAAAATGGACATTTTGGACATTGGTGTCTAAATTATCAAAATGAACATTTTGGACATTGGTGTCCAAATTATCAAAATGAACATTTTGGACATTAGTGTCCAAATTATTAAAATGGACACTGGTGTCCAATTAATTATATGCTAAATGTACCGTCAGTACTGATTTTCTCTTTATTATAGTGTCAGTATGGTACGGTAAGGTCATGTTGATCAAATTTTGTAATTTTGTATGGGTGATCAACCGTACCGTACAGGTTTGCAAATTCGTACCGTACCGATTATCCTACTACCTGTAAATGGTCGTGGAATTCCAGGAGATTTTCTGCGATTAAACCGGTCCGGATGATCGGCAATCAGGAATTCAGCTCCGTTTTTCAGTACTACACCATTATAAAATGTTGCACTCGACGGATAAATAAACATTTAAATGAGCTGTATAATCTTTAATATTTTATTCATTTTTATTCTTTACATTTGAAATACAGTAAATGCACTAAATGCAATTAATGGTCTATTGAATTTGGATGTACATTCAGTTAAAATATCAATATATATCGTTATTATTAAAGAATAATTCAAATTAAAAAAACAAAATCAACATTTAGTCCTGAATTATATGACTTTGAGTATTTGCATCTATGGTATATCATATTCTAAATCTCTTGAAATATATTCTATTAAATAGAAAAAAAAATTTAAGTATATAAAATTAATAAATTATTTTAAGCGGTACTATCATAGTACTTACCAGACCTCAAGCGTTTATGAATGGCCGGTCTAAAGTTTATTATTATAAGCAAATAAATTAATAACTAAAATCTAATAATACAATTTAAAAATAGGTCGTATTAATCAATACCTTTGGGTATTATCATATTCTACTTCTACCGAAGCGGATACTATGAGATTAAAAGCAATTGTATTATCAAATAAAGTACCGATAATTAATTTTGTCAAAATAAAATAAAATAAAATACATACCTCGTTTTGAAATCATTGAAGTAGATATAGATGAAGCCTGAGAAATAAGAGAGTTTAAAGACCTGCTAGTATAAATAGCACCAGGATGCCGTTCTTCAGTAAATTCGCCACCAAGTTGTTTCAATTGTATTAATCCTGATCGTTTTCCCTCGGCTTTACTAAATATTTTATCGGTTTTTTTACGCTTTTTGTACCAATCATCAACGGTTTCTTTAATTTCTGTTATGAAAGGTCTTTTTGAGGGATCAGAATCCCAACATCTTTTCATCAAATTAGCAAAACAATCGGGAGTATCAATTGTAATTTCGGGTCTTTTACCATCAATGATCTCTAAAATAAGTTCAACGTCATGTTCAACTCTAGAAAAAGGTTTACGACCTGTTGTTAATTCCCACATAATCATACCCAAACTATATATATCAGACTCTTTTGAAAATGTAGCACCTTTGAATATTTCTGGTGCGACATAAGGTATTACTCCATATATTTCATCATTTGATGAATTATTTGCAGGTTGTGATAATCCTAAATCGCCAATTACCCATTTTTTATTATCATCTTTTAACGATAATATATTTCCACTATGAAAATCTCGATGTATGAAATTTTCATTATGAATAGCCTTAAGTCTAAAATAAAAAATATTAATAAATTAACGTTATCGTTATATAATTATTAATAAATCTGGTTAATATTATAAAAATATAAACATAATTACCCATCGCAAATTTGACACAAGATGGCTAATTTTGTGATCCATTTAATATTTGTAAAATTTTCTTTTAAGTAATCATGTAAATTTCCACCACTCGCATATTCCATTATTAACATATAGTCTTTTATTACGGGATCTTGTGTAATACCATAATATTTAACAATAAAAACTGTATCATAACATCGATGGAGTGATCTCACCTAAAAAATCACAAATTCAATAAAACGTACAGCAATTAAATAAGTATTATAAAAACGTAATTACCTCATTTAGAAAGCATTCGCTAATTTCTTGCGTATTTGAAAATCTTTTCACAGCAACAGGAGTTTTTTTTAACCAAATTGCTTTATAAATAATACCAAAACCCCCTTCTGCTATTTTTTCTAAATTACTAATTTGAGAATATGGAATCCATTCCATTGTTCGTTTTGAATTAACATTTTTAATCTCACGTTCAATAAAATTATATACGTTTAAAGGATCAGAATTATCATTTATATTATTCATGTAACCAGCAATCTTATCGTAACTATCAGTATTTGTTCTTGTGGAAATAAGAAATTCATCTATATTTTGATTTCCACTGCTAGTATTTGTAAGATCAATATCTATTTTTGATACTCTTTTACATTTCTTGCAATGAGTTTGATTTGTAATTCCAAAAATTATATTTGTTGTCAAACAATATCTACATCCAACGTAAACTATGAAGCAATATGAACACCATTTTTGACAATTGGTTAAAAATTTCAAGTTACGATTACAAACTCTATGTTTATTGGAAGCATCCCACCATGGTAAATAAAGAATAGGAATATGTTTATCGATAAAAGTTGATTCTACCCACTCAGAAGATATTAAATAACAATTTGAACACATCTTGAATCCAAAAGAATTCTTATCAGTTAATTTCCCACATAATTTACAATCTTTTTCTATATTTAAATACTGCATTGTAGTATTAACATGATCATAATAATTTTTAAAATATGAAATTTCAGAACAATTTTTACACCATTCTTGAATATTACTTGTAAGAAAATTTATATTTCTCGTTAACTCATGTTCAATACAAGGAGTATTATTTGTAATAATATTTACATCCAAATATACGTCATTATCCGTTATTTTTTCAATGTACGATAATAAACATTGTTTACAATATTTTTGTCTATATAAATTTGTGACTGTATATTTATTTCCACAATTATTGCATTTAAGTTTTTCGTTATTAAAGGGAAGAAACGATATCGGTACAGGACTGGATTTTAATTTTGACGTTGGGTCAAAGTTATTTTCATTCGTAAATTCCATTATATTTAACAAACTTTTGGTAAGAAAATTATGTAGCTGATATTAATAGTTTATTACCAAAATTGTTAGCTTACGTAATTTTTTTTTTTTTGGGGTAAATGTAGTCCTTTGTTTACACAAAGGAAGAGAACTTATACAAATTCTAAAAACTACTTGCATTTGGTTACATCAAAAATGCACCTCCTGCTTCACCTCTTATGTAACAACTATACCACCCCTCCAAAATTAAATAAAAAGTAATGGCTATGTCTGCTAAAATTTTAACGTCGTGGTATATTACATAATTTTTTTGAAAGCTTACGTAATTTTGTACAAAAAGAGTATATAAATATGTATATTATCATTAACCGGATTTGTGACACAATATACACCTTTTAGAAATTAACTTATTCGGATTAGATTGGACTTAGTAACGATTCTATAGAATTCTTCGGTTTATTTATATTTACTGTTACACCTATGTCGGTATGTAACGAGAACTTTTTCTTGTAGAGAATTCTTGGAATATCTCATTTCCGTCCGATACATAATCATTAACATTTAACTCAATTTCTCACGGGTTAACTAGAGTGTCTACAAAAAATTTTGAATTTACTTGCGATTTTTTTTGTTAACATTACAACTTAATCCTATGTCAAAATGATAAAAGACATAATTTCTTGTTATAGTTGCCTGACGAGACCTTAGGGTTTCGACAATGTTAAAAGTCGAAATTGTTTTTGTCTTCGTGAAATTCGAATTTGAACCTAAGTTTGTTGGCATAGCGATAAATCGTTATACTACAAACGGTCTGAATTTTTTTTAAATTGATTATACAATATGTCAGTATCATTTATATTATTTATTTTTAATTTATTATTTTTACTATATATATAATAAAAAGTAAATTACAATACCCTATTTTTTTTGTTGAAGTATACTTGTCGCTAGATTTAACTCTTTGTTGTAGACTTGTAGCACAGCATTCCGCATTTGAATAAAGGCAAAGAAACCATTTTTACGCCCTTCAAAATTATTAAGTTACCAATTTAAACTATAATCTAACTGTAACACAAAAAAAAATTGAGCAATATGTAGTACGACGAGGCCTAGAATTCTATTAAATTAACTATCTTTTAAAAATGTGATTTGTTTTTTAATATTAAAATGCATTTTACCGAAAATACAATGTATAAATAATACTTTATGCATGTTTTATTAAAAAAAAAAAAGGTTATTATTCTTAATAACTATGAAAGTATAGAACCATTTTGAATCCATGTTTTACAATACTGAAATTGCTTTTACGATTTCAAATTTTCTTTAATGGACCATAGTATCATTAAAGCGGAATTCAGTTTGTAGAATTGATAGAATGTTATTTACATTATTTACGTAATTATTTAAATAAAAAATTTTGTAGAATTCGACTTTAGGATTTAATAAGAATTTAATTTATCTTCAATTTTGTTTGTATCTAGATTTTTTTCTCCCAAATAGAAAAATGTATTAAAAGTTTGTACACGTCAACGCAAAATTTTATAATATCATAGCGAAAATAGCATTTATAATAAAAGGGTTAATAATTAAAAATTCATGGAAATTTATTTTTAATTTTCGGCTTAAAATTGATACTTACAGTTTAGGAGATACGTTTCGCGACGCTCCGGAATCGTTTTGTAAACTCAATTTTTATTTTATTTTGTTTTTCAGAAAATAAATAGAATAAATAAAGTTTGTTATAAAATAAAAATGATTAAATATCATTGTACATAATTTTTAACTTGAATTCATGCCTAATGAAGTATGTTTGAATTTTTATCCATCTCCATGAAAAAAAAAAATTATTGTATTTCATTGCGACATTATAAAGTGAAAGTAACAACAACTCAATTATTATACATAAACACTATTGATGCATACAAATCATCAAATATCTATTGGTCATTTATCAGTTGAATACTTTAATTGGACACTATAATAATTGAATACCGTAATAAGGCATGGGCGCTTTTTTTACCCCCTTGTTTTTATTATATTGTCATCGGTTTTTATCTGCATCTGCAACTTGCAACTCAAAACGCATTGCAGAAAAGCAGAAAATAAAAATTTTATGTAGGCGTAATTTGTGATCACCCTTTTTCATCACGTTACCATAATGGGAAAATCTAGTATCAGCCGGAAAAATTTGGTATATTTTATTTATATTTTATTAATTTTATTATACGCTACGACCGCTACGTACTGTTTGTCGCACAAAACATCTTTGTTTATATTTATATGTAAAAAAACCGGTATAAGAAAAAATTTGTGTCATTTAATATATACAGTTATTATATGATATAATAAAGCATTTAATATATAATAAAGCATTTAATTAGTAATATTCGGTTACCATTGTCTTATATAAGGATATAAGGACGTGAAAAAATTTTTTTTTTAAGAGAATTATAAACTTACCTCTGATATTAACAATGCCGCAAAATAAAAAAGATAATACAGCTTGTTTACCACGTTTAAAACGTGAAATAGTTGAATTATATAATGAACCACTCAAAGGAATTAAAGTGAAATTTCACGATGATGATATAACTTTAATGTGTTTAATATTAACTTTACATCAAGGACCATATAAAAACCTAAGATTACATTGTAATGTTAAAATACCACCTGGTTATCCTCAAATAGCACCAATTATTACAATACTAACACCAGTAAAGCATCCCAACGTTTTCGGAACGTTTATTTGTGCTGATATATTACAAGCTCATAATAATCATAGCTCTGAATATAATGGTGGATATACACCTGGTTATTTACTTAAATATATTTTTTTACAAATATTGAGCTTCTTTTCTGAAAATAATGTTGAACAGGAGGATGGTTATATTTCACAAATTAGCTCCAAACACGAAAGTTTTAGGGAGTATTCTGATGCTATTGTAAAAGGATATGAATGTAAATTATGCGGTTTTAATGATTCGAAAGCTTCTAAACCTTTAATGTCCTTCCTTACTGATGATGAATTACAAATAGAAATGAATGATATGGATTCTGACTGTTCCAGTGTATTATCTAGCGTAAGGATAAAATCAAAAAATATTCCCGTGAATGTTTCTTCATACATTTCGACAGCTACAGTAAATGATTTAGGTGATGATGCTTGGTTACATATTCTAGAATTTTTGCCGGATCGTGATATTGTGGTCTTCTCAAATGTTTATGCACGTATTCGTGCTCTCGTTCAGTTCTCTAATATATTAACTCGACGACAATTAGTTTGTTTTTTCCTGAGAAAAACATTTGATGAATGTGTTCTTGGAGTTGGAGTAAATGTTACTGGAGGAACTACCAATAAAAGAAAAATAACTATAAATGACTTTGATCTCTTCTCTTATGAGGCATTTAAAGACTATGGCTTACGAAAAGGAGTTTGGGGTAACACTTTCACGAATTTCCTCCCTGTAGTATTAAATATAACCCATTTCGATCGTGCTTTACCTATAATAAAATCATCTTTAATGGAATTATGTGGAGAAATTGGAAAACCATGGGATTCATCAGTAATTCTAAAGATTATTCCCAGACTTATGAACACAACAGTGGTCACTCTAATGAAAGCTTGTGACGAAAGTAGACAATTCTCAAGATCAAAAGCCTCTGAGAAAGCACTAAAAGGATATTGTCTTCTGTTGCATCTATTATTAATGTTATCAAAAAAATTTCCTGAAATTATCACTGAAGCTGAAAGTAAGGTTAATACATTTATTCAACCAGGTAGAAATAATCGTCATAAATCTTTAATACCTGATTTAGGCGAATTCATGACTTATCTATTTTTAGCAAAAAATGTTTCCTGGTCTGGGTTTGTTTCTTATTTCTTGAAAGAGTTGTTATCACGTAATGTAGCTTGGTATTTAGATAAAGTTCCTGGATTAGCATTTCTCGAACAAAATGATTATATTTCCCAATATAGAATGAAAGAAACATTTACTCAAAGTGGAACTTCATTACGACTTGTTATGTTTCAAGTTGCATTCTTGAAAATGGTGAAAGGAAAAGAAGATGATATGGATAGAAGATATGGATATCCTTCAAATGAAATGAATATTTCTTTTATCAAGAAAATTTATGCGGCGAAGACCTGGAATGTTTTTTTTGATATGATTGATTCTCCATTGCCAGAAAAAAATTGGAAATCAGAAGTTTGTGATATGTTAATTAACGCAGTGAAAGATAGTGAAATAAGTGGATATCATCAAAACCCTTATACAAATAATGAATTATTTTATCTGAGAAGAAAACATGAAGAAAAAATTCCTACTCCTAGTAGTTGGTTAAATAATGAAAATGAAACTGCTAAAATAGATAAATACGGAGTCATGCAATTTTTAACTTTTCGAAGAAGGTAATGATAATAAAAGAAGTTCTTTTTCTGAATTCAGAAAGGATAATAATATAAAAAATAATATTAAAATTAATAATCATGGAAGTTGGTAGGCGGGGTAGACGTGGTGGGCGTGGTGGGCGTGGAGGCAATGTACATATGATCCCGAGACGTACATAAGAATCAAATATATAATAATTACAAAATGCCTCCAGTATATAATAGTGTATTTCATATTTATATGAGATGAAATTTTTTGTCTATTTATTAATTTTCATCAATAAATAAATAAATAAATATTAAGAACATTATATTTTGGTCACACACACGTCCTGGTCGTTCTGCAGTTCTGAAGCCTCTAAATCTTATTAATAAACATTATATAATCGAAGAATTAGTGATCCCGTTTAAAATATTTACTATTCTTAATAGTGATTCAGCGAAGAAGGTCCTAAACAGAGCAAAAAGTAAAAGAAATAGCCACATTGAATATTACGAGAACAAAAAGCAATATTTTTTGGATAATGCCATGCGGCATTATATAATTCTGGCCCTGAAGAGACGCGTGAAGCTAATAGTAAACGAGTGCCGATCTTTGTTACCTTATTTTTCACAATCTCTAATATTTCTAAATAAGTTGCTGACTTGCTGTCCAATACAGGAGTAATTTTAATAATTGCGGCACGGCATAGTTATTCTAATAAAGAATGCCACATAACAAATAATAAGAAAATTTAACTTTTAATGAAGATAACAAAAAAAAAATATGTTATAAAAAAGAGTTAACGTAACTCCATATGGGCAGGCTTGGACCGTTTGGTTCATCACAATTATAGATGGTTTTACATAATAAAATGGGTAATGTTAAATTGATCAGCATACACGAGAAATATATATATAAGGGTCAGGTGGCGAAAATTTTTTACTATGAGCTGTACGCAGAGACTTTTTTATATGAGTAGTACGCATAATTGACACCTGATATTGAAAATCCTGCAAAAATACGCAAATAAAATTTCAGACATTAAGTTATTAATTATTTTATCATGACTTTTATATTATTTATAAAACTAAATACTAATGTGAAAAAATAGAATTTATTCTAATTTACCATTTTTTCAATAATATTTTCTAAATTTTCACTTTTTAATCCTTAGAAATTTCTTTCAATTAATACTAAATATTATAATGCGGTTAACATACAGTAAATATATAAGATTAGCCAAATTTAAGCCAAAAATACGCAAACTAATTTTTTACATATAAAAATTTCGATAAAAATACGCAATCTTGATGACCTAACTATGGATGAAAAATTCTTAGATTGTATGCCAATCAAAACTTTACTCTGTCTAATTTCACTATGATGGCGACGCATCTGTGTAAGACATCTAACTTATAGTAGGTCATTTTATAAGTTGTATGAATAGTTATAGTAAAAAGTTTTTTTTATTTTTAAGCTCATTTTTCTATTTCTATTTCTTTCTTTTTTGTTATTTTTTTCTTAACAAAATATTGTTCTAATTTCTTTTTTTCTCTTCTGTAGTTTACAAAGATATTTTCAAGGATAAACATTGAAAGAAGCTAAAATTGGCTTCTTTAATACTATTTATTTTTTACTTTTCTATAGTAGAGGATTGTTTAAATAATTTTTAATTAGGGTAGCCTAGCACGTGATATTACGGATGAACAAAATCCGCCGATATGCATTATCGTGAATATCAGATATGCTGGGTTTTCCAGTTAATTGTTTAATGACATCAAAGTTATAAATAAGCGCAATATTCTTCTGAGGACTTCACATTTGTATATATTGTTTTAATTTGGTAGCTGATGTGTGTCAGATATAGATTCTAATATAACAGTTGTTCGGCACGAAGTGCCGAATAACTATTTTAAAATATTACTATTACACGGGGCGTTACAAATAGGGCTTCCCCACACTAAAAAAATTCCAAGTCACCTATATAAATTGCAAATCATTGAGTTAGTTGCGCTATGCCGATCAAGTTTCCAGTTTTTTTTTTAAAAAAAAGGAATTAGATCAAGAATTCGTAACAAGATTTAGATTTAAGCGAAAAAATAATTTTTTATGAAAAGAACTTATGTACTTCTAGTAAAACACATAGATAACATTGCTACAATTCACTTTCAAATAAAAAACAAAAACCACCTATTGGTCATTAACAGGTATAGAATCACCATAGACATTAAGTTTAATAAATGCAAAAAATGCTTTTTATTATAAAAAAATGAAATAAAAGCTTAAAAATTATATTATAAATCTATAGCTAAGTTGAAATTTTTAAAAAGTTATTTAATAAAATAAACAAAACTGATTACACAGTATTTTAGTATATTAAACTAAAAAGACTACTAAAAAAGTACTTATTACAAAAAGCACAGAAATGTCCTCAAAAAATTAGAAGAATAAATAGTTATGAAAAGGGAAGAAAATGTGGTTCTAAAAGAAAAACAAAATAACAAAACCTGCCTAGCGAAGATTCAAGAAAACTCTATATAAAATAATAAAGGAGTAATAATAGTTGAAGAAACGAAAAAAATTTAGAACAGTCGTTTGCAAATAAACAAATAACTTCCCTGTTCACATAGATTTCAGATTGCCGATTGTAAAATCAAATCGTTTGCAGTAAAACGAATCTATCGTTACGCCACAAATTTGGATTTAGATTTTTTATACATAGTTTTATCATTTCATCACGTGATCATTTGATCACGATAAATAAAAACATTTAACCAACTATCCAACTATAAACTTTCAATTTCTTATGATCTTTGATGCAAGATATCTCTAACACAAGTATTTTAGCGAGTTTTTCACATTTTGTAGGGGGTCTACCAGGCGTAGAATTTTTTAAAAAGCCAATCACACCAAGGCATGTAACTAGAGACCAGGATTTATTCTCCAATTTAGGTAAGGGTATATGGAACGAGTTCATTAATAAAAAATAAAGGGAGTAATAATAGTTAAAGAAACGGAAAATTTTAGAACAGTCGTTTACAAATAAATAAATAACTTCCCTGTTCACATAGATTTCAGATTTACAGACATCACAGATCGTGTTAAAATCAAATCGTTTGCAGTAAAACGAATTATCGTTACGCCACAAATTTGGATTTAGATCTTATCATCAGTTTAAGGTGAATTATTTACTAATAATAAAGAAACGAAAAAAAATTCAGAACAGTCATTACAACTAAACAAATAACTTCCCTGTTCACATAGATTTCAGATTTCGTAGACATCACAGATCGTATTAAAATCAAATCGTTTACAGTAAAACGAATTTATCATTGCGCCACAAATTTGGATTTAGATCTTATCGTTTGCAGTTAGCGAATTTATCGCCACGCCACAAATCGGAAATTTCAATTCAATTTTCAATTTAGGTAAGGTATATAGAACGAATACATGATTAATCATACCATATATCCTATTACTTAATAAAAAAAATAAAAGGAGTAATATAAATAGTTAAAGAAATGAAAAAAATTTCAGAACAGTCATTACAACTAAACAAATAACTTTCCTGTTCACATAGATTTCAGATTTCGTAGACATCGCAGATCGTGTTTAAAAATCAAATCGTTTGCAGCAGTATGACACATTTATCATTACGCCACAAATTTGGATTTAATTGTTAATCAATGTGAAATCCAATAGTCAATATAGATCCAAATTATATTGGACAAGTTTATGATTTATCATATTCACTGGTTTATATAATTCTTGCCGTAAAATTAAATATATCCTATTACTTAGTAACGTTAATGAGGTAAGCTGCATTTATGTAATAATGAGAAGAAATAACGCATTTATTTGAAAAGAAATTATAAAATTTTTGTAGATAGAAAAAAACTTTTTTCCCAATTATTTATATTTTATTCACATCATACCCAAGTATTTTCTGTATAGAAAAAATTTTCCAATTAATTTTTTTTTATTCTCTTTTCGTATGATTCCGCAAATTGCAGCCACATGCATCCTGTTACTATTTTGTGGCGTAAACTATAGTTCCGTAACATGTGAATATCTTAAGAATTCCAATGAATGTTATGATGATTAAAATATCCGTATAGAAAAATTCTAAGCTAAATTTCTTTCATAAAATTACTACATGCGATATTGGCTGAATTTTGAGACCTTCTTAATGGAAGATAAAAAGAATTATTTTATCAATCATTTTCCCTTTATTGTACATCCATTTTTTACAATAAACTTTATTTATAGTTTATCTGTTATAATATACATAGTAAATAAATGGGTTATCCTTCGGAGTTCGGATGATAATCCATTTGTTTATTACTAAACATAGTTGATCAGTGATCACCATATAAAATAGACTATTTTAGACTTTTGTGTATTTGTATTTGTCAGCTCTTTGTGACTGAAGGAATGAAAGTTCATATCGCTAATTGTAATATAACTATAATATTAGTAAAAACTGAACGTGAATGTATTAAGATGTATTATAATAATAGCAAACCAATAAAAATCAATAAATTGTAACTATTATAAACGGATAAAAATTAATTATAAATTATGGGTTGTTACTTTCCCTTTTTATACTTTATACTGTAAAATACAGTAGTATGTTTTATAAATAATTATTGCCCTATAAAAAATTATACCGTTATTCACGGATTAATTCACGGAAAATGTAAATAATTTGATAAATTCCGTGATATAAGGCTATTAATTCCAGAAATATGAGCCTTTTACGGAAAAAAGACGGAATATAAAAAACGGATCGACTTTTTTTACAGGGATTGCATACTGAATACTGAATATAGTTTCATTGAGCATGAAAATTCAAAACGTAACAACTAGTACTTCTACAAAAAAATTATATACAAATTATTTAACAATTTTATTTTATAACAATTTTATTTATTCTATTTATTCTCCAAAATACAAAATAAAATAAAAATAAATTTTGCTAAATGATTCCGAAGTGTCAATCAGTTTAGTGTTATTTTCATTTGTCAAGTCGCGTCATGTGT